GCCACCGATCCAGCCCAAGAGAACACAACCTTCCCTTCCCCCGCCCCCCCCCCCCGCCTCGCGCTACCTTCTTTCCCGTGCCCCCTTAACTCCTGCCCTTCCTTACCCTGTCTCACTTAGTGCACTCCGAGCCATTGCACGGGTTGCTCGCGTGGCAGCTGGACGTGAGCGCTTGCAGTGAGACAGGGTAAGGAAGGGCAGGAGTTAAGGGGGCACGGGAAAGAAGGTAGCGCGAGGCGGGGGGGGGGCGAGGGAAGCGAGGTTAATGGGCCGCTAGCGTGGCAGCTGTACGTGTGTGCAGTTGGACAGACTAGGAGCGGGTACGTAGAGCGCGCTCCAACAGGAGCACACCACAACGGCGGAAATAGAGGCATGAGTGAAAGCGACAAATAGAAGAAAGGAAGGATCAAACGCTAGTAAAGTTGCAGTCTATAATGTGCTATCCATTTGAAGTGATATGTCGGATTTGATAACACCCTGCACTATATAAAACAACAATTCGGTGTGTTCTAAGCCATTGGGCGTACTGCTAGATGTGAGTGCAAAGAATCGATTGGGAAGGAATTGACGCTTTCGAGGGAGGGGTTGGGGTTGATGAGGGTACGATTGCGAAGACACCGCAACGGTGAAAGCAGAAGCAGGAAGGATCAACCACTGACAGAGTTGTGAGCGAATTCATGTGATGGTATCAACTGGACGCAATGTTCTGAATGTGATATCACCCTGTACTACATAGGACGACCGTTTTGCGTATTGCGAGCCATCAGCGAGCTAAGATTTGAGGTTGCTATTCCAAAAAAGCCTGACGTGAATGGAGTGGATCAGGGTAGGAAAGGGGTAATGGGTTGGGGCATTGGAGATGGGGTGCAGTCGGGGGCACACGACTGGAAAGCGTAGAGCGCTTAAACAAGAGCACGCAGCTACTGTAGACAAAAAAGCATTCATGTAAGCACTAAGTTGGAAAAGGATTGATTGCAAACCAATTTGTGCTTTGGTATAGATTTGAGGTAATATTGCAAATGTGGTTACACAACGCTGCACTATATAAGACAACCATTTGCTGCATTCCAAGCCATTGCACGTGCTGCTCGCGTGGCAGCTTGACGTGAACTGGTGCAGTGGAAGAGGGTAGGAAAAGGGTTAGGGCACTGGCGGGAGGGGTGGGGTTGGGGTGGTGCGGGTACGACTGGGAAGCGTGCAATGCGCTTTACCAAGAGCACACCGCTACTTTAGTTCTAATCGAAGTTGGTAGGTTGAAAAAAAGAAGGGCCCACCGATAGCAGAGTTGCGAACCAATTTATGTCGTGCTATCAGTTTGAGGGGGTGTTTTTAATGTGATATCACTCTTTCACTTTCCAACTTTCAATCACTGATGAATGCGAATAATACTGGAGAATGAATGTACATTCGACGTAAGTAGCCCAAATATTAGAATCTGCAATCTTTATGCGACGTAAGGGTTTGCATAATAGAAAGGGTGAACGCTGATTGATAGCCGTTTCTATGCAAATAGGAAGCGGGATTTGTCTGAAACATAACCCTTTCTGCAACAAGGAGCGTGGACTCAGGAGTGCAGTATCCGCTGGGTTGCACTATCTGTTGCGATTCGCTTAATACAGCTTGCTATGAGCAGCTCAGTGGATTAACAGGTTCCTTTTCCATCATACAGTGAAGCCACCCCGCGAAAATGGGCTAAAGAGAAGGAGGAGAGCTCGACGTAAGCCAGGCCATCCAACAGGTGTGTTCATAAAGCGTCTAATTGCAAGTGTGAGCTCGATCAACAGAAATTTGGATGGGTTGGTTGCTGAATTCTTCGGCCATTATAAAACTGGTGACGACGAGAAACCCTTGTTAGTTTGAGTGAGGTGCTTCTCCCTTCTAGTACGGCGTGACTTGACCACTTAAGGATTCCACTCAATCAGTGTAATGAAAAATTGAATGTTTCAACAATTGTTTTTCCAGATCATTACGCTGGTTCTCTAATACCATGACCTAAAAAAGTCATTCATTCATCGGTGCGCATTCTCTATCTTAAATTGGCCTAGAATATCATCGATGTCTGATAGATGGTCTGATGCTTTTGCAGCCGTTGGACTTCCTGGCTAATCACGGACCGCCTCAGCACATGAGGAATATTTTTTAATTACTATCAATTGCCCTCATTCTGTTACCATACATTTTAAACTTATGCCATTCTGTGACCATCAAAAAGGTTGGCGCCCATTAGTGAAAACTGATTTTTCGACAAATGATTGCTCAGAATCAGACGATCCCTTGCAGCCCAATAGAACTAAGAACACAGAGTGTAGTTGTTGAATTGTATGACACATAGAACTACTGCATATCAGTGATTTTTTCTGCTGCTTTGTCGTGCCTGTACTATAAACTTAGTATGACTGATTTCAGCGTACGTCCACCTCACACGTAGAAATATTTGTGGCAGTCTACGAAAACGTACCTCATGACGAGTTGAAGAAGTTATCCTCGTCAGGACAGGTTTTTTCAATCGGAAAAGTTTACCATACACAATGCGTAAGTGGCCAAGTCCAAACAACAAATTCACATGTCGCTTACTAGAGATGACTCCGAAGCCATTTCTTCAAAATTCAAACCAAAGAAAATATGTCCTAGGTCTTATAAGAAACTTCTGCGCCCGAATAGTGATCTTAAAGGCAGTTGGCATGGTAAATCCTCCGAGACGAGCAGGACTGATACGCCTGGCAAGACGGAATTCAGTGACCCTGAGCAGCCGCTGCATAATGCCTTTTCCAGGGAAGGTGCCCTTATAAGGGCGCCATCAGGCCACAACTTTACGTCCCAAACGCTCCCTTGCCCGCCCGCCTACAAATGGACGACTGTTCCAGACGCTCTAATTGATTCATTTGCTAAGCAAACTATGAAGCGAAGGCATTGGTATGAAGCGGTCGTGATGCTGCATGGATATACAGGGGGGGGCAAAAGATCACTTTTCTTCATTGACTTTCGAGGCGCTATAAGTTACACTTTATAAACTCTAATCGTACATTTCTACCACTAAATTAAAGAGCATATTAAGTACTATTATAAAACCCCGCCACAGCCTTTTGGACGAGCGCCATCGAGAGATTCTGCCACGCGACCGCGATGTGGTGCCCGAGTTCAGCGAGATAGTCGATTTCTTCCGCACCGTAGACCACCCTATTGAACTCCGCCCGAACCGGGTAATTGAGGGGATTCAGGTCAGATGACCTACTTGGATATTCCATTTACACGTTGTGGCATCAATGCTGTAGCAGTACAAAGTTCCAAGACAGGGGCGGCGACAAGTAGGGAGGATATTCTTCTCGAGTTGCTCGATGTAATCGCCAGCGCTCACCTTCAGTCCGGGGCCCACGAAGAAAATATTGGTCTTTCCATTCCAGGTACCTTCGGTCCATACCATCAACCTGGCTCCTTGACGACTGCGGTGAAGATGATGTCCTAGACCGTAGCGTTGTCGGAGCTGCCATGTTGGAGGTCATTCAGATCAAGAGTATTATCCAGGTAGTTACCCATGGGTGACTCCACACTAGACGTTTCGCAGCTGTTTGGAGGTGACATGAATTCCAAAGGTCTTCTCCAGTCAGGCTGCGACTGGAGATGACCTCATATTTTGGTATACATGAAGGTGATGAGCGAGGTCGAGCTTCTGCTTATCGAGGGACATCTTGGGTATCTTCCGCCCTGGTACTCGTATCCACAACTTCTCTCTGAGCCGCAAAAACTTTGCTGATATGTGACTCGGTCGAAGTGATATTTTTTGCCCCCCCCCTGTATGAGTACACATATGCAGCCGTACCTTCGGTAGCGCTTATTGGTGGGATGCCTTCGGTAAACTCCTCCAACATTGATTACTAACACAGTGAGAACGGAGTCTCTTTTTTCGTAAGATTTAGACCGTTTCACTCCGTTTTTCGCCATTTCCCCACTATATAGGGGTGGCCAAAAAAAAGTCACTTCGCTTCATTGACTTTCGAGGCGCTATAAGTTACACTTTATGAATTCTGATTGGACATTTCTACTACCGTATTAAGGAGCATATCAAATACTATTATGACACTTCGCCACAGCCTTCTGGAGGAGCGCAACGAGAGATTCTGTACGCAACCGCGATGTGGTCCCTAAGATCAGCGAGATGGTCGATTTCTCCGCCACCGTAGACCCCCCTGTTGAACTCCGCTCGAACCGGGTAGTTAAGGGAATTCAGGTCATCAGGTGACCTACTTAGATATTCCATCTTCTTTAGGTACTCAGCCCCCTTCCATTCCAGGTAATCGAAAGTTTCTCCAACGCCCTTCGATTCCACGTGGTGGCACCCAATGCTGTAGCAGTACAAAGTTTCCAAGAAGGTACGGGGGACGACATGTGGAGAAGATATTCTTCTTGAGTTGGTCGATGTAACCGCCAGCGCTCAGCTTCAGCCCGGGGTCTACGAAGAAAATTATTGGTC